CCCCCCTGCCCCCACTGTGTGTGCGTGTGCGTGTGCGTGTGTGTATGTGTGTGTGTGTGTGTGTGTGTGCGTGTGTGTGTTTGTGCACGTGCGTGTGAGTGGTGCGTGCGTGTGCGTGTGCGCGTGAGTCAAGGATACACTCCCCGTTGAACTCCACCTCCCTGTAGAAGGCTGGCATGATATCCCGGCAGCGCGGGAACTCGCTCAGAGCCTGGTAGGCCAAGGTCTCGTAGTTCTCCTTGACGATCCGCTTCTTCCAGATGGTGTTGGGGCCGGCGGGGGCGAAAGCTCCTGTTGGGAGGATGGAGAAGACAGAGGGAGGTTAGTGTGAGTGTTTAAATTTAAAAAATTTAGTAGGGGTTTTACGGCGCTCGCAACTGCATAAGGTCATATGAGCGCCAGAAGATTAGAGGTGTTACAAGAGAGTAACAAACACAAAAAAGAAGAGACGGGAGATAAAGACGATATATGTTTGATAGGAAAGAAGAAGCAAACCATACCAGAGCACCCGCCAACCACCCACTGAGAAAACCGCTGCTGTGTGGAAAGACAGAGGGAAACAAGAGTAGAGGAGGATAAAGAACAACATATTCAGATGGCCCGAACAACATTGCAACTAACTCAATGAGAAAACACGTGATGAACTAGAAGACAGACAAGAGAAAGAGTGGGGTACCATGAGCCATGAACGTTAATGTCTTTTAGCTTCAGTAAGAGTTTTACGGCACTTGCAACACAATAACTTTAGGTCATATAAGTGCCGAAGATTAGAGGTGTTACAAGAGAGTAACAAACAAAAAAAAAGGAGGGGAGATAAGGATGGTAGATGTTTTTTTTAATAGGAAAGAAGGAGCAGACCACACCAGAGCACCCGCCAACTATCCACTGGGGTACTATGAACGTCAATGTCTTTTAGTTTTAGTAAGAGTTTTACGGCACTTGCAACACAATAGCTTAAGGTCATGAATAAGTGCCGAAGATTAAAGGTGCTACACGAGAGTAACAAACACAAATAAGATGGTGGGGAGATAGAGACGATAGTTGTTGTTTGTTTTGTAGGAAAGAAGGAGCAAACCACACTAGAGCACCTGTCAACCCCCCCACTCGTCAATGTCTGCTCCAGACTTGACGACTGAAGACGGAGAAGCAGAAGTCGAAGAATGGATCTCTTGAAGTCTGAAAAATAATCACCCTGCGATGGGCTAATTTCCGGTTTCAACTCTACTCGTGTGCAAAACAAACGAGGCAAACTTCGACCGGCTTGTATTGTATGGTTAATTTAGTAGTGCGTCTTTGTTAATATGAGAGCGTGCGCGCTCGCGCGCGTGTATGAGTATGAGAGTGTGCGTGCGTGTGTGTGTGTGTGTGTGTGTGTGTG